GGCGTCGCCTCCAATCATTCCATCTCTATAGTGAGCCGTCGAAGGGTTGGGGAATTTCTCTCAAGATCCCTTTGAAAACTAAAGTATTAAATGACGTCGAAATTGGATTTCGTCGACGAAAAAATGTTTTTGTTTCTCAACTCAGCTCTGGATGCACATTCTATACTTCAGCAAAATCACTAGCCATTCACCATGGTCTATTAAAACACATCTCTGCCACCATTCTTTAAAATTCACACTGTCATCCGAACGGAAAGTTCTCACTTGGTTTTCCTTAAATTATAGATGTTCAGTGAAACTCGTATTCTTTCCATGTTTCAGCCGTTTTCCAGAAAAAAAGGAACGTAAACACAGACAGAAAAACTTACGACAGAGATATCGCCTGACCCCCATCGACTTGAGACTGAGCTTCGTTCAGCGATAAATTCAGGTGTACACGAATTTGTCTGTGTTTTCTATATAATATCCTGACTTTTCTTCAGATTTTTCCTATTTTTTCCGAATTTCCCCATGATTTTTTTCTGATTTTTCCTGAATTTTGAGGAGGGTTGTTTAAAAAAGTTTGAGGGCGCGTCGGATACAATGCTGTACTACTTACGGCACGCCGCCGACGTAGAGCGGCAGGTCGAGGTTGAGCTCGTTGAGGGGCGCGCCGCTGAGGCCGCGCACCACGGTGCCGTTGTCCAGCTGCAGGCTGCCGGCGCGGTCCGTCCGGCTGATACGCACCGAGTGCCACACGCCCGGCTCCACCACCTCCTCCGACCTGCAACAGAGCGACCACGGTCAGCCCCGCCCCAGGTGGTAGACGACTCGGACACATATGGAGTACACCCGCCGCCGCCGGCGCCCGCACTCACACTATCCTGGCAGGCCCGCTGCCCAGGTCGAAGCGGAAGTCGACGCGGCCGGCGTGCAGGCTGAGCGCGATGAAGTCGCCGCGACCCGCCGAGTTGAGCCGCTGGCCGTCGTACAGCAGCGCGCCGTCCGGCACCCGCGTCATGAACCACAGCTCGAGGGAGAAGGCGCGGCCCACGCCCTCCATCCGCGGCAGCGTCACGTAGCTGTGCCCGTCCAGCACCGGCACGGCCGGCTCCAGCTCCAGGTCATCGGCTGACGAGAAATGAGAGGATTTCAATTTTCCAGAGAAGGGTTATCGGAAAAAAATGACAATTGATTTTCTTTTAATTTGTTAATTTTTTGAAACATTCTCTTACCAATTTGGCAGGTCTTGCCTCGGCGCCCCGGCAGGCAGTGGCAGGTGAAGCCCCCGGCGGGCAGCGACTCGCAGGTGGAGCCCGTCGAGCAGGGGCTGGCCAGGCACGCGTCCACGGCCGCCTCGCAGAGGAGCCCTGGCGCGGCGGAGGAGGAACACGTTAGTCACCTGGTCATACTTGGCCCCTGACCCTCACCGCCGCTGGCGTTCGTGCTCACCGGTGTAGTTGAGCGGGCACTCGCACTTGAAGGCGTTGAGCGCGTTGAGCGAGTGGCACAGCCCGCCGTGGCGGCAGGGTTGAGCCGAGCAGGGGTCGCCGCCGCACTGGCCGACGGCGGAGTACGCCACGGCGCTGTCCAGGTCGATGCGCCGGGTCCCCAGCGTCATCCGCCGGATGCAGCCCGTGAAGCCGAGGGAGGTGCCGATGTTCTCCCACACCCTGCGGAGCACGAAAACACTCAGAGAGGTGTACGACGGCGACAGGACGGTCGCGCGTGACGGCAGACCTCACCTGACGCAACGGCCTTACCTGGAGTGGTTGCTGGGCACGCCGCCCACCCAGGTGGTCGGGCTGAGGTCCAGCGACCGCAGCGAGCCCTGCGACTGCCCCGTCACGTCGGCGTCGTCGTCCACCGACAGCATGCCGTCGCGGTGGTAGCGCTTGGCCGACACCCGGTGCGGGGCGTGCAGCGTGAGGCGCGAGCCCGAGCGCAGCACCACCGTCCCGGAGCCCAGGTTGTAGCGGAACTCGACGTAGCCGCCGACGAGCGCGAGCGACACGAAGTCCCCGGACCCGTCGTCGTGCTGCTGCGCGTAGAGCAGCAGGCCGTCGGGCGAGAAGCTCAGGAACTCGACGTTCACCGAGAGCGCGATGGGGCTCCCCTCGATGCGCGACAGCCGCACCCAGCTCTCGCCGGCGAACGACAGCCCGCTGACGGTGGCGTTGCTCTCGCAGGGCTCGCCGTTGCACAGGCAGGTGAACGAGTCCAGCGGGCCCTCCACGCACACGGCGCCGCGCTGCTCGCACGGCGAGGACAGGCACGCCGAGGTGGGCGCCGCGGTGCTGGCGGGCGCAGGGCAGTCGCTGCGGCTGTGGCCGGCCGCGGTGGGCGGCTCGATGCAGGCGCAGGAGCCCAGCAGGCAGTGCGAGTGCTGGACGCCGCAGTCGGCCGACGAGGTGCAGGGGTCGCCGAGCAGTGTGGGCGGCGCGGCGGGCGGCGGCGCGGGCGTGGGCAGCCACCCCGGCGGCACTCCCTCCAGGTCGCCGTCGGGGAGCGTGCCGTTGAGGAGGTCGCTGGAGGCCGCCGCCAGCGAGTGGATCACGTCCACCTCGCGGCTGTCGCCGCCGGCGCCCTCCGCGTCCACCGCGTCCCCGTCCGCCTCCGCCTCGCCGCTGCGGTTGGCCGCCGAGTAGTAGTAGCGGTTCTGCGAGTGGCGCGGGTCGAGCGGCGGCGGCGCCGACAGCCCCAGGTGGCGCGTGGACTTGTAGGACGCGCCGCCGGTCATGCCAGGCCCGGGCCCGGGCTCCGTGAAGCGGTGCAAAGTGGAGCGCTTGAGCGGCCGCTCCGTCGCCGGGCCGCCCACGTTGGAGCCGGGGACACCTGCGGCAGCCGGGGGGTGTAAGCGGTCGGTGGAGGTGGAGGCGGTCACCCTCCTCGCGCTCGAGGACGCGCCGGAGTACTCACCCGGGCCGCAGCCGGCGGGGGACAGCACGTGGCCGGGCGCCACACACTCCTCGCACTTCTCGCCCTGGACGCCGGGCCGGCACACGCAGCGCCCCGTCATCTGCTCGCAGTCGTCGCGCACCGCGCCCCACTTGTGGCACTGGCAGGCTGCAAGGCAAAGCAATCACAATCATCACGACGTCGCAGGCGAGTAGCCTCACAACCTCAGAGATCGGGCCGACGACACTCACGCAGGCATCCGACGGACGGGTTGCCGTGGTCGCGGACCTTCTGAAGGCCCCAGTAGGCGGGCTCGCAGCGGTCGCACTTCTCGCCGCCGACGCCCGTCTTGCAGACACACGCGTCCGTGTCCGCGTCGCAGGCGTCGCTCACGGCGCCCAGCTTGTTGCAGCCGCACATCTTGGGGCAGCCCTCGCCGTCCGGACCGTCGGCCAGGGTCCGCCCGTCGGGGCAGCAGCCGTACCAGGACTCCTCGCAGGACACGTGCTGCCTGTACGAGCCGGCTGCAATGGAAGGATAAGAGTCAAGATTTTTAAGGTCCGGATTTTTTTTTCTGGTAAAACTTGAAAACCTAAAATTTCTAAGGACATAATTAACACATTTAAAAGAATTTCGTAAGAAATATCCCGAAAATTCCCTTTCTGGAAACTTGAAATGTCTACTTCAGCGTCACCCAGCATCACGTTGTCCACAGGTACGGAGCGCTTGTACTCACTCTTGGGGCAGCAGCGTGCAAAGTGCGGCGTGGTGTGGCAGTAGGAGCCGCGCGGACAGTCCTGGCGCTGCGGCCCGGCGCCGCAGTCCAGCTCGCCACCCGAGGCGGTGTCGCGGAGTGGATCGGCCTGGCCCCCGCACGGCTTCACCTCCAGTCCTGGAGGAGTAATAATAAACGAAATTAAATAACTTTATTCTTGCGAGAGGGACAACAAGTTGGTGATTTGGCGCTCGCGCTGTCGTCGCTCACCCTTGCAGAGGTCCATGGGGCGCAGGCGCAGCTCCTCCTGGCGCTGGCAGCCCTCGCGCTTCATGTCGCACAGGCTCGGGTACATGCGCTGGTTGGAGGCGCACACGGGGCCCTGCGGCCCGGCGTTGAGCCACAGCGCCGCGCCGCAGTCGAAGACGCACGAGCAGCGCGGGAAGCCGTCCGTGCCCAGCTCGCACGTCGCGTCGTAGTCGCAGCGGATGTCCTTGCAGGCCTCGGCGCGCTCCGCCGTCCCGCCCGTCACGTGCTGCGCGTCCTTGCGCCCCGGCTGCAGCACCTTGCCGTGCGACGCCTCCGTCAGCTTGGCGGACTGGTTGGCCATGTGCGGCGGCACGGTGGCGGCTGCAGAGAGCGACAGGGGTCAGTAGGCGGTACCGGCGCGCGACAATGTCCGACGAGGCGGCTTTTACAAGCAGTTTAAAGGCCGACGATTCGCCGAAATGATCCTTTTTTTTTGAAAATTAAATCTGAAGACGACCTACCCTGCCTAGGGCACGCTGCTACTACTCACTGTGCTCGCCGAAGCGCTCGAGGCAGTCGCCGTAGAACAGGACGGTGATGGGCGGCTCCGGGTGGCGCTGGCACGACGTCCTCTTGAGGGCGCACTCGCTCGGGTACGTGACCCTGTCCGAGCCGCACACCGCCTCCCTGACGGCGACCGCGCCGGGCGGCGACGGCCCGCCCTCCTGCGCGCCGCAGCTGGCCTCGCACACGCACGCGCCCTCCACGCACGCCGCGCCCTCCTGGCACGTCACGTCCCGGCACGAGTCTAGGTGAAGGACGACGAGAGATTAGAGAGAGAAAATGAAAAGAAAAGGCGAAGAGGGACTGCAGTCGTCGTCGGCGCGCGCGCTTACCGCAGTCACCCCGGTAGGCCACCGCCACGTTCCTGCCTTCCTTGCAGCCCTCGCGGCGCATGGCGCACTCGTTGTCGTAGGTCACGCCGTCAGAACCGCACACCGGGCTGTGCTCCTGCTCCGCCTGCGACGCAAACCAGTCAGTTTAATACAGGTTTTATACGAGATGGCACACCACAAGCAAAATAAATGAAGGGGGTCTGTGAACCACCCTGTTATTTTAACAAAGGAGAAGGATTTTTCTCAAAACATCTCTCAAAGAGTTAAAACTTACAGGTGCGCTGCAGTCAGGGCACACGCACTGGCCCTCGCCGGTGGCGTCCGTCTCGCAGGTGGCGTGCGGGCCGCAGGAGCGGTTCTCGCAGCTGCAGAGGCCCTGGTGCGCGACGCGCACGTCCAGGCGGCGCTGGCAGTTCTCGAGGCGCAGCCGGCACTCGTTGCCGTACGAGACGCCGTCCGAGCCGCACACGGGCTGGAAGGTGAGCGGGCAGCGCGGGCAGACGCAGCGCGGCGCGCCGTGCCGGGGCACGCACTCGCCGCCGTGCGAGCACGCGTGCGCACTGCACGGGCCGTCCACGCCTGCGGGGCAGAACGGTACACTGTGTAATGACGGCACTTCAAAAACGTGAATTTTTTTTTTTTAATTGTTTTGAAAATTTACTAGTTTTTTTGAAATTGTTCAAATTTTGGGCAGATGGTGAACATTTTAACAACATGCTTAGGGAAAGGGAAAGGAATAACGTCCGTATTTCTCAGATTTATTTGGCAACTGCAGTTTGGCGCCTGCGAGACTCGGGGTAGGCTAGCCCGCAGTACTCGCATGCATTGCAGGCAAGATGTTGCCTACCTACCAGGCGCTATGAGAGCCTGCAGTGGCTCAGGCCAGACGGATTTAAACAGGAGAATGGCGGACGTACTTTCAAAGCGATCCATTATTACATTGTGAAAAATGAAGTAGTCAATTTTCAAAATTTTTGTAATCTCGAATAATAAGTTGTAAATTTTTTACTCGCCAATGGATTTTAAGACCGTACTGCACGTATTTTAACGATCACCAATTGTAATTTTACAACTTGCGTCAAGGAAAATCTTCCTGTAAACCTTTCTACTATTTTTTTTACAATAAGTTAACTGACCGCAGGATCCGGTGTAGGCGACAGTGACGTTGGCGCGGGCGAGGCAGGCCTGCCGGGTGAGGTGGCAGGCCGAGTCGTAGGTGCGTCCGTCCGAGCCGCACACGGGCCGCACGACGAGCTCGCACTCGGGCGGGCACTCGCAGCGCGCCACGCCGTCGCGGCCCACGGCGCACACCTGGCCGTGCGCGCACGCGCCGGGCGCCCCCGGTGACGCGAGCAGGCCCGCGCAGGGGTTCTCGCCGGCCGTGCACCGGCCGCGGTACACGATGCGCAGCTCGCGCCGCGTGCGGCAGCCCTCGCGCCGCAGCCGGCACGTGTTGGCGTACGTGCGGCCGTCCGAGCCGCACACGGGCGAGAACTCGTCCGGGCACACCTCGTCGCAGCGGCACTCGGGCTGGCGGTCCTCGCCCAGCGCGCACACGCGCGGCTCCGGGCACTCCATCTCGGCGCACGGGTCTGCAAAGCAAACGGAAATAAATAACCTACACAGTTAACGAAGCAAAGTGCAATATCCTTCGTACTTACGAAGGATTTGGCATTTTGCTTTCCTAAGGTTTTAACAGTGTAAAAAAGTTTCGGACTAAAAATTAAAAACAATGCATGAATAAAGTATAAACAAATTTTTAAATGCCTGTTAGCGGATGATAAACGCTATAAGTCATCTGCTTTCACGTTAACGTTTACGTTATTTTACTCGCATTTCGAATTTTTACCGTGCTTTTTGTACTTTCGCAGTGTCTGACAGACAAAGTGAGTCCTGTCCTATTTTGTTTTTTTACAGGAGCTGTGGGCCGGCGTGGCCCGTCGGCCCGTGACCTGGTTCGCGGGTCGTGCTACGCCGCCGCTCCGCCTTCAAGAGAGTGTTGCCGTGGTTATCGCCCTCCCCTATCAAGTGGTAACCGCCCCCTGCGCCGAGCAGCCCTCGGCCAGCTGATCGTAAACACGTACACCACAGACTTACAGCGCACGGTTACGGTAACGGGTTCGAAAGGAGACAGAGCAGAGGGGAGGGCTGCTCGGGAGGTGCGGCGTCGTGGCAGGTGATACGAGATGGAGACGTACAGTATATTCTGTGGGGCGGCGTTGGATTCGCGAGCCGCCGCCCTACTCGTATCAGTGCCCCCCCCACCCAACCCCCGACCGAGGCCGCATTCATACATACTTGACACATCTGGTGCCCTCGCCCCGGAGCCCCCTCCCCTCGCCACCCACTACCCCGCACGCCTGGAGGAAGGGACGCTGTGGAATTTCATGAACTCTGTCTCGCTGCGCCGTGTCGCTATCCGAGTAGTTCAATATTGCGTTACGTTTTCATGAGAGGAGCGAACCTTGAGACCAACGAAAAAAAAAGAAAGAATTGGGCGGGAGGGCCGCGCAACGGGGAAATACAGACAGGAAAGCCAGGCTGTAAAGTGCGGCGAGGGAAAGCCGAGAGAAGTAAGCGACAAAAGAGAGGGAAAAGGGGATTAGTCCGCGGGAGATTTCATCGCGATAGTTCGTTATAAAACTCGACGGCCCAGTGGCTTACCGCATGGCCCCTTAAACTTGACGCGAATGTCCTTGTTCTGCGCGCAGGCCGCCTTCATGAGGTCGCAGTGGTCAGCGTACTCCTGCAGGTCCGTGCCGCAGACGGGCTCGCCGACGGCCTCGCCGATGTTGCACGTCCGCGGGCACTCGCAGAAGGCCGACAGCCCGTCCACCGACACGACGCAGTTGGCGCCCACCTGGCACACCTTGTCGCGGCACGGGTCTGGGTTCTCTGCAACAAGGAAACATGAAGGACTAACGTTAGGTCCTTGTTCAAAAGGAAAAGACATTTGTTTCAAACTTTTTTTTATCGTGAAACAAGGGTAATCCCACAGCGGCCAACGCTTCGTCACAATCGCAAATCAAAAAGGAGGATGCGGGAAAAAAAAGGGTTTTCACTTTTCCCCGTCAAGGAGGGGATGCATTAATCTTCATTACCGCGAGCGGAATCTCGGTACAAACAGGCAGACAATCGATCAATCTTGGTTTTCTACAAAAACAAAGTCTCTTCTCCCTGAACAGCAGGAGTGGCGGGCGGAATGCAAAAAGCTCGGGGGGAGAGAGAGAGAGAGAGAGAGAGAGAGAGAGAGAGCGAGAGCGAGAGAGAGAGAGATCGAAATAAATTTTATTAAGGTGCATATAAACATATAAAAGGACTATAAGTGCCGCTAGGAAATATAAAATACATGTTGGCAAGCATTGGAAAAAATTGCGGTAGTATTCAAGACGAAGCTGGTATTTGGATGTTGAGTATGTTGGACCTGGTTTTTCTGGCATTATTGACATTAAAGGTGAAGACGTATTTTTGATACTGATACATCGATTTTTCAATCTAATAATTTTAAACATATAAGCAAGATAATTCCTAAAGTTCTTTCTTTCAGACACTATCAGTATTCCTAGATCCCAGAAGTAGGCTAAGGAGTTGCATGTTCACACATTCTGGATCCAAGTAACAAACCTTATAAAAGAGTTTTGCAGTTTCTGTAGCTTACAGTGATTTAAAACAGACATTTTGGAGAAACCAGCAGCAGCAATTAAAGTGAGGAAGAAATCAGTGTTGACAAGCGATTTCCGAATCTTCGGTGGTATGTAGGAAAAATTCCTCTTTAACTGATCCAGGATGCTGAATACCTTAGAGAGGGGGGAGAGAGAGAGAGAGAACGAGAGAGAGAAGAGGAAGGGGGCGAATTTCATAGGTTTGATTACTTAAGCCAACTTTATAGTTTGGGGTCGAGGGGAACTTTATAGCATCGGTGGAGTGTGATTACATCCTTGTCTGATAGCCGGACCGAACCCACCTCGACTCTGTGCAACCCTCCCACCAGGCTGCAGCCCCCCACCCAGTTCTCCCTGGACTATTATAAGGGCCAGGGCCTTGCGGGGCGCAATCCGTGACCAATGTTAAATGACCCGTTTAGCCGCATTTCATTTGCTCTGGGATCACGGAGGGGGGACCGCTGCTGCGGGTGGGAGAAGGAGAGGGAGAAGCATGAGGAGGAGGGAGAGGGAGAG